ATTAGAAACAAGATTCTCAGGTTGCATATCTGTCAGATATCTGATTCATGTTCTCACAGTTAGCTGGATTTTGAAGGCAGAAGAGCAGTTTAAGTGCGTGTGGATGTGGATTGAATGAAATGCGCTGTGGTTGTAGTTGTTTGAATGCTGATGAATCAGTGCTGCCGTCTAGATGTTCAGTGATGTGAAGTGACAGGCCGTCAGGCATCAGGCAGAGCGTTTTAAGTGAGCTCAAAGCTGACCTCTGTTCCCGCCTATAAATACAGCGGCAGAGGCAGGCACACACTGTACCATTGATGCCGTAATAGAGCCGAGAGCGGGGCAGAACGATTCATAGGGTTAGATGTTTGAGAAAGAGACCTAATATCGAGCGGCTAGTTTAAATTTACACCGTATTGATTATTGTAGGCAGCTTTGCAGTTTGAAATGCGAGTTGCTGACTGTAATTTAGGGTGTTGGCTTGGAACGTTTGATCATATATTCTGACTCGGCACTCCAACCATTACATTAAAAGATTTAACTCAGTTTAGCTGTATGTCATGAGTCATGAGCAAAATAAAACACATTCCTTTTGTGGTGTGTTTATCCTCTCTATAGAACTAGGGCTGGGTCATATATCGAATATTCACGATATAGTTGTTCTGATTTATTCTGATTTGTTATTGTTTTGTCCTCATTAGTAAGTCGCTTTGGATAAAAGCATCTGCTAAATGAATAAATTATTAAATGCTATATAAAATGAAGAAACATCACAAATAAAATACTACTACTGCCTTTTTACTTTATAAAATTAATTTAATGTGTTACTTGCCATTTCATTGTAATAATTTGTGAAATTTAAGCGCTATAAGCCAAAGATTATATTTAAAGGAAAATTTATGATTCTATGTGTGTTTTTAGTGAAAAACCTTATTTTTTATTATTATTTTTTAACTGGACTTTTATTTACTTTTTGCTTTAAAATTGAGTCTATTTGGCCACAATGGTTAATCTGATCACACTTTTAAGAAATTTCAGAATAATATATTTAAATAGCAAGATTGTTTTTTGGTTTATGAGCTCATTTATGAGTAAGAATAGCGTAATGGCATTTCTTGTTGAGTTTGAGCAGTCTTTCTGCTGTTTTTACTGTCCTCCATTCGCATTAGTTTCCTCTCTTACATCTCTCTCGCTTTGGAAGCACTGTCTTTCCAGAGGCTTAAACATTCATTTTTAGCATTTGGAGTAGGTTTTATTTATTCTTGTTTGTAAATAAAATACTTTTTCTAGATATATTAAAATAAGTTACTACAATACTTCTATACTTTCCCGTTCTTCGAGCGATTGCATAGTAAACATTGGTTTTGGCCTATTTTTGTGTGTGAGGATTTAGGCCAAATGTAATGGAAACTTACTGTTCCATGAGGCAGCATTACATTGTGAAAATCCCTGTTGAATAGCAGAGCAGATCGCTGTAATGGAAGGAGATATGGCTGGAAGGAGGTATTGAGAGATAAAGAAATGGAGGGAGGGTACCATTTCTTGCTGTGTTCACTGTCCAGATGTAATCCACCTGCCCGGGGCGAACCAGATTGCGAGGACTGCCGTAGTTCTTAAAGGAACAGTTCACCCCATTTGCTTAGTTTACTTTATTTAACTTAAGCTTAAGGGGTTAGTTCACCCAAAAATTTAAATTCTGTCATTAATCACTCACCCTCATGTCGTTCTAAACCTGTAAGACCTCCGTTCATCTTTGGAACACAAATGAAGATATTTTTGATGAGTTCTGAGAGCTCTCTGACCCTCCCATAGACAGTAAAGTAATTACCACGAAGTCGTTATTTTTCTGTTTTCTTTGCATACAAAAAGTATTCTTGTAGCTTCGTAAAATTATGGTTGAACCCCTGATGTCACATGGATTATTTTACCGTTCTCCTTACTACGTTTCTGGACCTTGATCGTGGTAATTACATTTTAGATTAGGTAATTACCACATAGATTAATCGTGCAGCCCTAATTCCCATTATTTCTGAATGACTCTCTCTAGAGTCTAGTTGTCCTGATCTCCTTGGATCTGCCCTGTTTAGCTGAAGCCTTGTGCCTTGTGCGTTGCTCTGTCTTGCTCTCATCGCAATGAATATATGTTTTTGTCATGCTACACTTGCTGCTCTGCTGATTTGAGCAGTTAAAAGGGCAAATCTGGAGTTGTAGATTTGCATATTTGTTTGTGTAGAAGCTTGTTGTGTTTGTGTATATTAGGAGGTTTTGATTAGTGTTGCTGTATTTTCATCTCACAATTTCTAGCCCTGTGTAACAATATTGATGCTACATGTGAACAAACATGTAAGATTGCCCTTTAGAATCTGAAAACCATCTATATATAAGATAAATATAAATATATAATAGATAAATATATAAAGCATTATATATATATATATATATATGAATATATAGAAGTAAATCAGAATTTATATTTATAAATCATAATATATAAATGTAAATCAGAATAATAAAAAAAATCATATATAAATGTAAATTGTGAATACACACACGCGCGCGCATATGTCATATCTACATTTTATAAACTGGGACGATTAAGGCATAAAACGTCTGTTACATAAGTGAGATAAGTGCAGGCATTTAAAACATGTCTCAGCTTCAGGGAATGTGACGGGGTTAGACATGCCCACTGCTTTAATGATTTGGCTTCCGTTCGTCAGCAGCAGAGGAAGGAGATCTGAGGTCTCGCTGCCCCCTCTGCATCTTATCTCCGTTCTCTACTTGAGTCTATCACAGCTTCTGCAAATGGTTCCTCCATGAGACTGGACTGTTTTGATTCTTTACTCGTTCTATGTATCATGTTCTGTATAACATGTTTGTGTATGTGTTTGACATTCCATTTCTAGCGCAAAGTTTCAGTCTGAAGGGAGTCTGCGGTCAACATACTTCACATTGGGTTCATTTTCATGTAGATTTAGTCCATTGAGACACATTGTGGCTCTGATGTTAGATTCTTTCCTAATGAGAGAGTGTGGGTACGTTGGGCATGATCACGGTCTAACTGAGCTTTTTCCTGGCTTTTGGGATGGATCAAAACACGGCTCCAGTGTTCACTGCCATTCGCTTCTCAATAAATTACCCTTAAGCTGCATTTGTGGCAAATATTAAGGGTTTCTAATCTAAAACTCAAAAACCAGACGAATTGAACAGTCTGTACTCTGTACCACTTCCCTTTGCTTTAAAAAGAGTTGTATTTAGTGATAAAATAGCATTTATAGAAGAGATCACGTATGAGACCCATGTGACCCAGTATTGCTACAAAACAAAGATGTGTTTTACAAGAGACAATGAAGTATTTCATCAGGGATAAACACACAAGACAAAAGGCAGCTGCCGCTCGTGGCTGGACTCAAATAAACAGTTCTTCTCTCTGAACGAGCACATAGCTGTGTTCATGCGTGATTAGAGATTTGGTTTCACAACCCGTCAATGGCTTTGTATTGATTAATACAGCAATAGCAGAGGCATTAATATATTTGTTTCCGTCTGTAATGAAGCACATAATGTCTGCCATGGTTCAACCGCAGGTGTTACACATACATCCAGGTGTTATACTGAAGTAATCTGCCAGTAATGAGGTGCCACAGTCTCTGTGAAAACCTTATGAGACTTCAAACAAGCAAGCAGTTTTTTTTCAGGTTACATGATCATTTTAAAGAAAGTTAAGACAAAAAACACTTACGTTAAAAAATGGTTTGTTGACTACCATTCAAAAGTTTAAGGTCTCTTATGCTCACCAAGGTTACATTTATATGATAAAAATACAGTAAAAACAGTAATATAGTGAAATATTATTTCCATTTAAAATGGCTGTTTTCTATTTGAATATATTTTCAAATGTAATTTATTCCTGTGCTGCAAAGCTGAATTTTCAGCGTCATTACTCCAGTCTTCAGTGTCACATGATCCTTCAGAAATCATTCTAAAATGCTGATTTGCTTCTTAATAAACATTTCTTATTATTATTATTATTATTATTATCAATGTTGAAACAGTTGGTATTTTGTGGAAATAATTTTGTGGATATGTTTTTTTCAGGATTCTAATGAATCAAAAGTTCAGTTAGACGTGTATTTAAAATAGAAATCTTTTATAACAAAAATGTTCGTAACATTTTACTAAGAGCCTTTATGTATGATGCATTATAAAGGATCAACAGGATACCCGGTTCAAAGGGTAAAACGCATTAAAATTAATCATAATGTGCATTGTAATGCATTATATCTTGTTGTAAATAATTATAACCAAATTTAAAATGCATAGTTTAACAATGAATTGATAAGTGTTATAATAACTGTGGTCACAATTATTCATGAGATTGTACAATGCATTATAAGGTGCATTACAAGGCATTATTAATGCAGTGCATTATACAAAAAGGCATTAAGTAAAGTGTTACCAAAATGTTATTACTCTCACCTTTGTTCCACTTAAAGCATCCTTGCTAATGCTGAATAAAGTATTAATTTCCTTCAAAACAAAAAGGTCTCACTGACTCAACTTTTGAATGGTAGTGTTCATGCCTCTTAGCACTTGATTACCCTCAGAGATTCAGAATGCAGACTGTTGTGTCATTCATACTCATAAAATAAGCTTACATGATATCAGTAGCTCAGTATATGAAACCTGTCAAATGTTAAAGCAAGTTGCCACTGATAAAGAAGGCAGAGGAAAGGACTGTGTGGAGGAGATTAAGAGAGACAGAGGTAGAGCTGAGAGTGCAGTATAGGTATTGGACAGGAGCCACAGAGCTAAAGTAAATACAGTGTGGCATGTGAGTGACCTACATAGAGCCCAGTGAAGGAGGTTAAAGTGTACAGTGTGCCAGACCTGTTCATTAGCCTATTATTTCCTCTCTGAGAAGAGTGCAAGGCAGCAAATGCCAGGGAAAACTCTGCTATCTCAATGAAAATGTGACCGGAATGGTTTTAACTCTCTCTCTCTCTCTCTCTCTGTTGCAGGAATATAACATGACCAGATTAAAGGGATAAAACCAGGCGCTCTTCAACACATGGTGAAAATGAAACATCTGCATCTTTGAATGCTTAAAATAAGCCAAAAGTAGATCACAGACCCTTCAAGATTTACAAAAATCATCTTATCGGTCCATATTGTCATTTTCTCTTCACCCTTGCCCTTCTCCGGTCAAAACCACCATGTATGGTAGTGCCCGATCCGTGGGCAAAGTAGAGGGCAACCACAGCGGCGGGAGCAGTCAGAGTCCCGGCCGCTCGCCCCGTCTCCCTCGCTCGCCCCATCTGGGCCACCGCCGCACCAACAGCACAGGGGGCAGTGGAGCGGGAGCGGGAGGTCCAGGTGGTAAAACCCTTTCCATGGAGAACATCCAGTCTCTCAATGCTGCCTACGCCACATCCGGCCCCATGTACCTGAGCGACAACGAGGTGGTGGTGTCTGGCCCAGACCTGCCGAAGAGCACCATGACGCTGGGCCGCTCGGGAGGACGGGTGCCTTACGGCGTGCGCACCACAGTCATGGGATCCAGCCCAAACATCTCCACTGGGGCTCCCGGATCCGTTCCCACTGATGCCATTGCTTTTGGAGACCACCATATGCCTTCCACCCTGGCGTCCACTGTGCCTCATTCGCTGCGCCAGGCGCGGGACAACACCATCATGGACCTGCAGACCCAGCTCAAGGAGGTGCTCAGGGAGAACGAGCTCCTGCGGAAGGAGGTGGATGTGAAGGAGAGCAAACTCAGTTCCTCCATGAACTCCATTAAGACCTTCTGGAGCCCCGAGCTAAAAAAGGAGCGCGCCCTGCGCAAGGACGAGGTATCAAAGATTGCCGTGTGGAAAGAGCAGTACAGAGTCGTACAGGACGAGAACCAGGTGAGAGGAGGATCAAGTGGGTTTAAAATCCTATTTACAATGCATTTAACTTCTGTAATATTATACATATCTCAGAGTGAATCTGAATATTTTGCAGGGAATAATGTAGCCTCAGTTTTGATTACTTTTATGCTTTCACCTTATTTAAAAAAACAATAATGTTTGGGATGCATTGATATTATAATTCTGGCTTATAAGACAATTTTATTTTCAAGCTATGGCAAGTAAATATTTTACAAATAAACCATTAAAATTTTAAATCTTTTCATTTTAAAAATGAATATTAATTTTGAGATTTGCTAAAGATTACATTTAACAGTGTTCTTAAATTAGGGTTTTTAAATGAAAACATTTAAGTAAGCATGAGATGTTGACAGTGGAAATGAGCATGAACATACATTATATTACATTTAAATGTAGAAATGTACATTTATGCGTGGTTCGCAAGTGAAAGTTTATAATACGAATTGCAAAAATGTTCTATTTCAAGTAAATGCTGTTCTTTTGAACTTTGTATTCATCAAAGAATCCTGGAAAATTGATTTCCACAGAAATATTAAGCTGCACGATTGTTTACAACATTGATAATAAGAAATGTTTTGTGAGCAGCAAATCAGCATATTACAATGATTTCTGAAGGATCATGTGACACTTAAGACTGGAGTAATGATGCAGAAAATTCAGTTTTGCAGCACTAGAAAAAAATACATTTTAAATGAAAAATGTGTATTTTTAAATTGGAATATTTCACAATATTACTGTTTTCACTGTATTTTTTGATCAAATAAATGCAGCCTTGGTGGGCATAAATGACTACTTTGAAAACATGAAAAAAGTTACAAACCAACAACATGTCGTGCATTCCTAAATATTGCCTTTTTTTAAACCATAGTCTATCTCTCTTTTTTTTCTTAGTCAGATATTGGTCAGTTAAGTGTTTGAATATGGTTTCTCTTCTCTTCTGTGAGCTATAATATTCTGGTCTTTTTAGTGCAGCGTTCAGTAGCCAAAGGGCTTTATCTGCTAAAACGCTATAATATGAAATGGTGCACCTGGCACTGAGACAAAACAAAACAAAAACCTTTTACTTGCAGATTGGATCTGATTACTGAAGAACATTGGTACAAGGCATGTTTAAGAAATGGCTCTATTTGTTTTTTAGTGTTGTTTTCAGAAATGGCTTGCCGAGAGCCTTCAAACATCTTACGATAAAAACTCTAGACAAGTGGATCTTTTTTGTTTTTGCATAAAATGGACAACTGTTCAGCAAAGTCTATATGACTTTCTATATGAATTTCCTTTCAGTATGACTTTTATTGTAGACTAATTAAGCTTTTTAAAACATCCATTTCTCCTCTGCAGGCTGTAGTTTAACACACGTCCATCCTGACATTTCCCGTTTTATTCTCCTTCATTCGTGCTGGATTTTATCTCTGGTGTAAGCTGTAATTTTGCATTTTCCCATGTATTTTTAGGGCCTGCAGGCAGTCTACAGCATGTAGCCGACTACAGCATATGACATAGACATGAACTATTATCGTTATAACACCACCTCTTTTCAACAGGAAGATGTTTTTATGTATTTAGTCTACTCTACGTTATTTTCACTGTTGACATCTGGCAAAGAATTGCCAACTTAAGGAAAGACCTTCTGTATGTCGCCATGTCTGTAGAGTTAACTTTGAACTCAGCTGGATGTCAGAGACCTTTAACACTCATATGGTCTTATTGCACGTAACTCTGGCCCTGCTTTGCTTTTGCCTTGGCTGAACTGTGAGGCTAATGAGGGGCATGTCGTCACTGCCTTTGATGCCTTTCATTCACACCGCCTGTTTGATGAAGGCTCGGGTGATGTTTTTGGGTAAGGACGAGTGGGTTGAACCCATATGACACCCCACTCGGTCTGCTTCGTACAGTGAGCTGGAGTACTTGACTGATGAAGTCGGTTTCTGTCATGATGGGTTTATCTAGATAAACTAGATCAATATTCAAAAGACCCTTGATCAGTTAAATGAAAAAGTCATATTCTCAGGAGAGAGAGGCATTCAAAGGAGGGATAAAGGAGCAGGAATGAGTGGAATGAGGCTTGAATACTCCTTTGAGACATGTTCAATTATGAGATGTGACGCAACAAACCCCTTTAGTCAGCCACCTCTCATTCATTCACCTCCTGTGCTCGTATCTCTCTCCATTCATTCAGCCCACATGCTAGTTCACTGGATTTGTGAGCATGCTTTCTCTCTCTTCAGTTTAGGGATGCATGAGTAATACAATTCTGGCTGATATGATAAGCAATAATTATTAAGAATTGTTTGAATTTTTTTGTATGATAGTCAAAAAATATGTTGTCTATTTAAAAATATATATTTTTATTTAAATGGATAATTTTTTTTTTGTTTTTTTTATATATATTCTCTATTGTCAAAATAAAAATAAAATAAAATCAGTCATTTTAAATGCTTAAAGTGAATTTAGGGATCACAACATTACAATATAATGTACAGTATGAAAAATGGATATTTAATTTGAGATTACTGGTAAGTGTTAATAATTAGTGTTTTTAAAGATTAACTTTAAGCGGACGTTAGATGATCACAAAAGTAATCTAAATGTAAAAATATCGGAAATGAGCATTCACAATTAAATATATTGTGCCAAAAAATATATATAATATATAGCCAAAATATATATATATATATATATATATATACACAATAATATTTATGATTAATGTTATACAATAGGAATAGAAAACAGTAAATTGCAATAAGCTTTCACTGTTTTTTACGGTATTTTTGATCAAATGAATGATCAGTTGATCAATTAAAATTTGGGGAAATGAGTGTGCACACTTAAATATGTGATTTATATAGCCAAAATGTATGTAATATTTATTCATTTAAAATGAATAGAAATCTAAAAAATATTCTAAATTGCAATGTTTCACAATATTTTACAGTATTTTTTCCTCAAAGCATCAATTAAAAAATGCACAATGGACAATTAAATATGAGATTATGTAGCCAACATATATGTATTATCTACTAATAATTAAAAAAGTACAGATTATACTGTGTCATGCATCTCTATTTCCTACAGAATACTGGGAATGTCACTTATTCTGTAATAAATAAATTTTTTATTTTTTATTTTTGATGTGCATAAATGTGAACATGTTTTGTTTATTTGGATTCAAATGAACCTTATTTACTTCCTTAAAAGTCGTTTTCTTCCAGCGCTTTGTGCTCATCTGCCATGACATTCCCCGTACTATCAAGTATGTTTACATGAGCGCATCCTTTCAGACAGAGCAACCGAGCCAATCGGGTGTCCATCCATGTGTGTTTTTAGTAAGCGTGCGTCTCTGCCCTCTGAGGAAGCGGGAACAGATGGCAGACGCGGCTCCTGATGCGCTTACTGTAGTCGTGTTGTAAAAGGGCCAAAGATTCGCACCCCAATCCCACAATCTCCTTATCAAGTAGTGTCACTTTTCACAGCCAAGTTCCGCCCACACTAATATTCACCGTTCCGGTCAGACTGTTTGTTCCTAGTCCCAAATGTTTGATTCACATAGTCAGATGAGATTAGAACAGATAATGTAGGGGTTTGTTTGCTGTGTCATTTCAGTAAATGTAACCTAGAAGGGTAGCAGATGGTCAAGGGTGGAGTCTCTCGCAGATGGAAATAAACATCACATGTTGAGCTGAATGACTAAGAACCATGAAAATATCTCACATGGTTTTCTTGCACAGTACTTCCTGTTGTCCTGCTTGGCATGATAAAGGTTTGAAGGCTGTATTTACTCATTATGTAATAGATAATCAGCTCATTACTCACAGCAGAATGACTGTCATCATACAATATGCTGTGTTTACACTTTAGAATCATGGAGCTGGACTGTAAACACCATAGACTTTGAGGTGGATCTGTCCCTGTATTCTGGTTAGTGGGTAATCAGTATAGTGTTTAAAAACACCATATATATATATATATACATATAAAGCAGCTTTTGCCCTAGGTGCACTTGTGCATAGTTTTTTAGGTAGGTTTCTTGAAGCATCTTGGAGACGTTGCCACAGTTCTTCTGGATTTAGTCTATCTCAGTTTGTTCTGTTTCTTCATGTCATTCCAGACAGACTGGATGATGATCAGATCAGACCTTTGTGTGGAGCACTGGCTGTTGTCAGACTCCTTGTGCAAACAAAAATCTCACCGGATTATTACAATTAATGGAAAAATGAACGTTTGGAAATGTAAATTGATATTTCCTACTGACACACTACAGCAAGAGATAGAAATAACTGACTAAAAACCATTTTTAGCTGGTGAAAATACTAGTGTTCTAATAATTTTGGCCACCTCTGTTTTTGCTTGTGAACAATAAAACCGATCTCTGTGATTTGCCATATCAAGAGACCTGAATATCATAGGTATGATCTTTCGACTTTGGTCAGTAAACAACCACCTAGCAACCAAGAACACCCTAGCAACCACATACTGACATGCAGGGACGTGGGACGTAGGGGTGCTGAGGGGGCTGCAGCACCCCCTGTTTTCACATGGTTGCAAATGCAACGCCAAGTTTGTTCATTTAAATTTATTCCGTTTTAGCATTTAATAATTTATTTGTAAAGATCTCTGAAATGTAAACTGTAAGTGGGCCATAATAAACCCATGTTTATCTTTATAAACATGATTAATTTTACTTGTTTTCTATATGGGATGATTAGCCTAATCCTCATGACCATCTTCCCGCGCCCCTGCCGACATGCTAAAAATGAACAAAGCTACACCCTGACAACCACTCACATAAAAGTCTAGTTTGTCTCTGCAAGAACTGTCTGGATTTTATTTTAGGTCTCTTAAAGAACTCAAGTTTGAAAATAAACCATCTTCAAGTCTGTAAAACCACCAAGATAATGAGGAACAAAATGTCCTGTTGGGCTTTCTTTGTTTCCTCACTTACTCTTGTTTTATTTCCCAAGCAGCCTGTGCTGATT